CCTTGAGATTTAGATAGAGCATATATTGTCGTATCAGTTCCACAGATAAAAAACAGGCTATATGACTTGTTCACAGCCACATAATTAATACATATGAGTAGCAGAACTAAAGCTCAGCACTGCTTTCTCTCTCATACTCTAACATATTGGGAAAGGAAAGTAGGCTTCAAAATGACCTTGAAAAACGAGAAATGTCTTGAAACTCAAAAACTGAAATTCATTAGTGTAAAAATACAAGCGAATAGAAAAATGCACAATCAGGAATGGCTTTTGTGAATTTAGCAGAAAAATGATTTAGGATTGACATTCTGTAGTTATAATAAAAACAAAAAACCACATTACCAGAATTCATTGAAGCAATATAAACTGGGGATTGCACAGAACACTGGATAAGAGTTCTATGATCCCAGTTGGGTATGGTGGCACACATCTATAGCCTTGTCTCCTCAGGAAGCTGAGGCAGAAGGATCACAAGTTCAAGGCCAGCCTGTGCAACTTAGCAAGACCCTGTCACAAAATTAAAAAACAAAGGGGCTGGTAGTGTAGTTTGGTGGCAGAGCACTCCTGGGTTCAAGCCCCAGTACTGCAATTAAAAAACAAAAAACCTGAATAGTAGTACTGATTCCTGGTGTCAAGCTGTGGGATATAGTCCTGGCTTTACTACATATACTTATGGACTTAGGCAAATTATTAAACCATTGAGACTCAGTTTCCCCATCTGCAAAATGGGAAATAGTAATAATACCTGCTCCCAGAGTAGTGAAGATTTAATAAATTCTTTACAGCTGTATATGTGGCTCTTCATTCTTTTCATTTATAGAATAGGGATAATTGCAGTAACTGCTGCCTGCAAAAGTTAAGATTTAATGATCACTCTATAGCCCTGTAATGGCTCATAACTCAATTGTGTGAACTTGGCCTTCTCCCTTTTTCATCTTTCTACTCCCTCTATTGTATACTATAATTGAATTCTCAATATTTAAAACTCTTGAGGCTCTTTCTACAGATTTTGAAGCAACCTAAAGGATTGACAGTTTTAAAGAATAATAAAATGAGAAACTTTGAGAAGAGTGGAATTAATATTTATTTAATTCACTAAATAAATATTTAATAAATTAATAATTATTTAATTTACTGAATATTAATTTAGCATGCACTAAATACTACATTAATTCTCTTTCAGCCTCACAGCAACTATTTTTAACCTTTTATTTTAGGTGTAGTTGGACACGATGTCTTTATTTTATTTATTTATATGTGGTGCTGAGGATCGAACCCAAGGTCTCGCACACCCAGTCCCTTAACCTTTTATTTTAAAGTAACTTTAGTCTTAGAAAAATTGTAAAAATAATCAGAATTCCCATATATCTTTCACCTACCTTCCTCCAGTGATAATATCTTATATAACCAATGTACTATGACCAAAACCAGAAAATTAACATTGGTACATTGCCATAATCTAAACTAAAGGCTTTATTCTGACTTCACCAGTTTTTCTTCATACTTGCTTTTTCTGTTCTAGAATCTTATCCAGTAACCCACATATTTTCTTAGTCTCTTCTGGTCTGTGACAAATTCTCACTCTTGCCTTGTTCATGACCTTGATACTTTTGATGCGTCATTTTTTTAATATTTATTCTTAAGTTTTAGGTGGACACAATATCTTTATTTTACATTTATGTGGTGCTGAGGATCAAACCCAGTGCCTTGTGCATGCTAGGTGAGCATTCTACCACTGAACTACAACCCCAGCCCCCTGGGCAATCATTTTGATGAGCCCTGAGCCCTTAATTTCAATTTGTTTGATGATTTCTCAAGATTAATCTGAAATTATGTATTGTTGGCAGGAAAACCACAGAATTGTTTGCCTTTTATCTTTATTAAATGAGAACTATATTTAATCATAAGCAAAAATTCTATAGTAGTAAATTATATTTGTGCTAGGGTGGTGCCCTATCTATGTCTTATAGTTTGTATGAGCATCAAATGTATTAATGATAGCTTGAGAAAAGTTTTATAAACTGTGAGGCATTTTATAAATGTAAAGTTGTGCTTTTATTGTCACTGGTGATAACTTCTCAGTGTATCAAGTCAGAGAGGTAAACACTGTGACATTATCTTACTGCTGGTGACATTAACCTTGATCTCTGGACAAAGGTGGTATTTGCTGTTTTGTCCTGTAAAGTTACTACTTTCTCATTGCCATTAATAAGGTGAAGGTGATGTCTATCATTTTTCTCCACTGTAACATTACTAATTTTCCTTTTGTAATCATTAAGTATATTAAGGGGAGCTTTGGTGCTAGGGATTGAACCCAAGGCCGAGTGCATGCTGAGCCCATACTTTACCACTGTGCTAGACCACCAGCCCTAACATCTTATAACTGAATATTTTCTTAGTTTTGTTGACAACTAAACAGAATCTTAGAGACTTACTAACCTACTCTAAGTCATGTAAATAATGTCTAGTTCTGTCATAGTCTAAAATGTCTTGTAATTTCACTATTCTGTGAAGATGTGTGAACTTAAATGTGAAGAAGAACCTAAAGAGGGTGGAGAAGGGGAAGATACTATAGAACCAGAAATATGTAGCTTTGGGAAAGTAGAATAAGGGTTTGAGAAAAGTTTTTTTACTTGATGAGAATCAACTCTTGCAAGCAAGCAATGGCTCCTCAAGGCATAATGAGAATTTTAGATTAGATGCTTTCTGACAGTGATCCCAGAGTACGTGACAAAGGGATTGTGCATAAACTATAGATGTGAATACAAACAGAATGAGGTTTACATAAATCTGAAAAGATATATGTTTTGCATTTGGGAAGTTTATTTCACTCTTGAATTTACATTCTGGTAGATTGAATTCAAGACATAAGAAAAGTTTCTTTGATTAAATTACCAAAGACCCATAACAAACTCTGTCTTCCCACAGGGTTGGCAGAAAGCAACCATGGAATTACATTCTTAATTTATTCCTTATACCATTTGAAGAAAGACTTCCATTTAAAAAAAAAAAATCTGGGTGCAGTGTTTCTTAATGGGTAGTCCTAGCTACTCAGGATGCTGAGGCAGGAAGATCACTTGAGCCCAGAGTTCAAGGCCAACCTAGGCAACATTAGCCAGTCCCTGTCTTAAAATCAAAAATATCTAGTACATGCATAAATCTCTGTTCCCAAGATGATAAAGTGAACCTGCCTCTTTATTAAATAAGAACTTTATTTAATAAGCAAAAATCTTATAGCAGTAAAATATATTTGTGCTCTCCTGATAGAATTTATGTGAGTCATATTAATGTGTTCACTTATTTAATAGAGTGAAGAAATTGTTAATATATGGCATTTTTGTTCCTTTCAACTGGAATAAAATTATTTCTAATAGTCTGTCACCAAAAACTCAGGGATTTTTTTTTTTTCATCTTATCAGAGTTCAGGCTTAGTTCTATTCTAAAATAAGCAACTGAAAGCAAAATAGTCAGCATGTTTGAAAGGTCACGAGCACTGACCTACTATAAGTGACTTCTTTTCAGAAAACAGCCCTCTGGAGGTTATTCTGCTAGGTGTATTAGAAGTTCAGCTTCATATATTATCTGGACTGTCTTAAGTATTTAATAAGCAAACAAGAAATATTTTACTACAGATTATCACACCTTTAAAAATGTCATACTTTCTGATGCTATTTGTAACCATTATGGCTTCTCTGGTTCCTACTTTTTCTCCCACCTATATCTTGTTCTTTCTGTCCCATGTATACTTCATTTATGCCACTCTCATTTTCCCTCTGGTTGGTTTCTTTCTCTATAACTATTTGAAAGTTTGCACAGCATTAGAGGAAACTACTAACAACACAATCCATGAACAGTTTTGGAGGTCCACTAAAATCAGACATGGATTTTTTTTTTTAAAGAGAGAGTGATAGAGGAGAGAGAGAGAGAGAATTTTTAATATTTATTTTTTAGTTCTCGGCGGACACAACATCTTTGTTGGTATATGGTGCTGAGGATCGAACCCGGGCTGCACGCATGCCAGGCGAGCGTGCTACCGTTTGAGTCAGAGCCCCAGCCCAGACATGGATTTTTAAAGTATTTAAAATGGTTGAAAACGTGATTTTTAAGATTCTGCTTTTAATTCAAAAGTTAGATTTTATTTCCTTTTTTTAAAAAAAGAGAGGAGAGAGAGAGAGAGAGAATTTTATTTATTATTATTATTTTTTATTTTTGTTTTTCGCGGACACAACATCTTTGTTTGTATGTGGTGCTGAGAATAGAACCCAGGCCGCACGCAAGCCAGGCGAGCGCACTACCGCTTGAGCCACATCCCCAGCCCAAAAAAGTTAGATTGTAAGTCAGAATGTTTATGATATTGAGATTCATGGTCTATATAATGTGAAAAATAGCATCAGGGTTTAAGAATTCATTTCTAGTATTTTTAAATTTCTGTCTCAAAGAAAAATCTTCATGGAAAAAGGTTAACATTTCTTTCTCTCATTCAATATTTTGAAAAATTTGGCATCATAACAATCACATTATGTGCAAAGTCACCAAAATTGTGTTCCGTAAGCTTCTAAAATAATTATATATTCCTATACTTTTTTAAAAAAAAAAAACTCCTCTTAATTGAAATTTGAAAACTGACTGGGCATTTGCCAATATTAAGGAATTATTGTTAATTTTTAAAGTATATTATAGTTTTGGGGTTATATTTAAGTCATTATTTTTAAGAGACAGATAAAATTATACAGTGCTTGTTAAGTTTGCTTCAGAATATGAAACGCGGGTAGCTAAAGATATACATGAAATAAGCTTTATTGCACATTTAAAGTTTTGAAGATTGATGATGGGTTCTTCAGAAGTTATTGTGCTCTTCTGTTTACTTTTGTATATGGTTAATTTTTCTAAAATGTCTCCTAATAGATACTCAGGTCCCATCAGAAAGAAAATTTTTCATCTACTAATAAAGTTTTTATTTCTTGATTACAAGAATTTTTTTTTCTCCTTTCTATTAATAGACTAAAGACATTAAAGAAATAGCCAGAAAGACACAAGCTCTGCCAAAAGTGAACTCGAAGAGGCAGCGAATCGTGGTCTTCACTCAAGGGAAAGATGACACTATAATGGCTACAGGTACATGTTGAAACTGTGTGACAAATCAGTATTAAAGTAAAATTATTTATTCTTTTTATAATAATGTATTCACAACAATATATCTTTTAGAATTTTTCATTTTAACAAACATTTCTACTTCTATCTCAGTTAAAAAAAATTTATTTTCAGGACAATAATTTACTAAAATTCAGTTCGATAAAACCACATTGACCTGGGTGTGGTTGCACATGCCTATAATCCCAGCAACTCAAGCTGAAGCAGGAGGATTGAAATTTCCAGCCTCAGCAATTTAGCGAGGCCCTAAGCAACTTAGCAAGACTCTGTCTCAAAATAAAAATTAAGAAAAATTGGGCTCTGTGGTTGTTAAGCACCTCTGGGTTCAATCCCTTGTACCAAAAAAATAAAATAAAATAAACCATATTAATATACTGTATTAACTTTGATATGTTAGAGATTTCATTAGTCTAGAATTGTCTTTCCTTAAAAATGAATACATTTTACTTAAAAAATTTACACTAAAATAAATAAAATTCAAAAATGCTAGTTTCTCATATTTTCCTTCTAGAAGAAAATCTCATATTTGTTTTTATTTAGCCACATATTTCATAACATTCATAGAAATAAACTAGGAATTTCATCTAGTGTACAAACATTTTATTGGGTAACATGATTAATAGTGTCAATATGATGCTACCTACTGTTAATGCCAAAATTAAAACCTTTTAATTCTGTCTGAACCATTCAGATTAAAACCAGTTAATTAATGATTATTATAAACAGTAATAATTATTACCTTTGTGTTTGTGTAGTACACAGCTGAACATTGAAATATATGATTCTTAAAGATCTAACTCGGGGCTGGAGTTGTGGCTCAAGTGGTAGAGCGCTTGCCTAGCACACATAAGGCAGTAGGTTTGATCCTCAGCACCACATAAAAATAAATAAATAAATAAATAAAAGTATTGTGTCCATCAAAAATTTATATATATATATATGTATACATATATATATATATATATAAAGATCTAACTGGGAAATGAAGTTAATACACATAAAACATGAGTAAAATGTATAATCATACTTTTTATTTATGGGGACAAACTATATGAATTGTATTGACTCAGAAAGGAAGGTCAGTAAAACTTGAAGAAAGATATTATAGCACAAAGGAAGTGTATTTTTGATGAATCAAATTACAGAGCCTGAAGAGTCAAAGATGAATTTACTGTTCAATCTTAAAGTAAAGATACCCTGGAAATAATTAATTCTTTTCTTTCTTATTATAGAATTGTGAAAAGTAACATTCAGAGATTTGCTTCAAAAGAATTCAGTGAGCAGTAGATGGTGAAGTAGAGATACTGAGGTCATGCGTTCATTGTTGAAGCTGGACAGTAGACATAAAATCAGTCATTATGCTCTTATCTCTGTATATATGTTTGAAATTTTTCATTATTAAAATTTTTTTTAAAAAGTAAAAAATAGAATTCAAGCAAGATTGAACGATGTTAAATGGTTTTCCCAAGATAAATTGATATCTTTACTAAACCTTTAATTGCAAGAGGGATTTAAAGAAAGGTGGGCAATAGCAAGACATGATGGTGGCATGCCTATAATCCCAGCTGCTCTGGAGGCTAAGGCAGCAGGAATACAAATTTGAGGATAGCCTGGGCAATTTAGCAAGATCCTATCTCAAAATAAAATAGAAAGGATTGAGAATGTGACTCCTAGTAGAGTACTTGCTTAGCATTCATGAGGTCCTGGGTTTAATCCCCAGTACTGCAAAAAGAAAAAAAACAAAAGGCACATTCCAAACAGGCTTATGTAAGCAAAGGCACCAGGTACTATGCAAACTTTTATTGTTTTGGCAGGAAAAGCCACAGTTGTTAATTTGTGTGAGAGAGAAGACATAAACCTTGATAGGATATCCCTGCCTTGATACAAACTATCTGAATTGCCATTTTCCTATATAGTATGGCCATTTCATGTCTTAGCAATGAACGGTTTAGAAAAGTGAAAAACATGCAGTTTTCTCATAGGAAATATAGTTCCACCTTCAGCTTCATAAAATGCTATTAGGTTGCTCTTTATGGAGACATTCATTTGAAAGCTTTCTGCATTCCAGATATACGTATCATACAAGTTTTTTCTTCATTATGAATTTGCACCATTTTACCAGAATGGAAAATTATCCTTCCCATCTTGCGACTGAATTTCCTTCAGAACTTATTTTATTCTTTATTAAATCTATTAAACCATTCTTAAGAATGCTTACAATCAGAAATTTATTTGAGACAAGACACTGGCTAATCTTTGCTCTTCCTACCATATGAAAATGAACTGAAATTAGAGGATGCACTATATCTGCAATGCATGATAAATACAAGATGGATAGAGAATCTGTTCAGTGGTGTCAGCTACAAAAGCAAACATGATAAATGTTAATGCAGTTTTGAGCCTTGGGATAAGCTATTCAGTGCACAAGCAGAGCTGAATCTCTTTGCTATGTTGTTATTCATGGCAGCCAAATAAATGTCAATAATAAAAGAGAATTAAAGATTTTCATTTCCCAGAGGCAGTCCTCTAATACGGCTTGATCTTTCATTTCATTTGTAATTCGTTCTCATGTCAGGATGCAATCATTCGCCAGGCTCTGGGTGTCATGTTAAGTCATTTAATAATGATTAAGAACATAAAAATGCTTGGCCTGTAGGGCAATTCACAGAAGAGATGCCAATTTGTTATTGTTTTCCCTCCTTTCCTCTTGAATATGGATCAGCTTTTTCCCACCTCCTAGCATTAAAATACTAATGGAAGATAGGGAGGGAAAGTGTCCCTTAATTTTCCATAAGTGACATTCCAGAATGGCACAAGGCAGTGCTAATACACTTATTAAAACACTAATTAGGAGTATTGTGCCTTGCCTCACACTGTAGAGTATTTTTAAACGATCACACTGTTAAGTTTGTGGCATTTAGCAATAATGTTAATGTTAACAAAATCAGTTTCCTTAGTATTTTATTCTAAAGACCTATCTCATATTGAGATATGGTTTTCTGTAAACCACTTTCTTTTATAAATTTAATTATTTAAATTCTTATTTAAATAGTCGGCAAATTTAGAAAGTTTTCCACTCACCCTGTTTTACTGCTCATCTCTCTTTCAGATTGGGTTTCCATCCAGCTCAAAGATTCTGTTGTATATCAATCTTTGTTTCAGTGCTTACAGGCTAATTGAGTTCCCAAACAAATTTATTTGAGGGAAGGCTAGGCACTGGAGACTAGTGAGAGTAAAAAGGTAGGCAACTGCACTTTGGGTTATATGCCTAAAGAAATTGAAAGTAGGAACTTAAACAGGTATATATGCACCGATGTTTATAGTGGTATTATTCACAGTAGCCAAAAAGTAGAAACAAACCCAAGTATCAATCTACAAATTAACGGATAAACCAAACATGATATGCATGTATACACTCATTGGCATGTGGACACACACATACACATTTATATTTACAATGAAATATATTTAATCTTAAAAAGGAAATTCTGATACATGCCATAATGTTGATGAACCTTGAAGACACTATAATAAGTAAAATAAGCCAGATTCAAAGGAAAGTATTATTTGATCCTACTTACATGAAATATTTAGAGTAGTCAAATTTTTAGGGACAGTGGAACAGTGTTAGCCAAAGGCTGGGGTAGGGAAGAATGGAGATTTATCATTTAATGGATATAGTGTTTCAGTTTCTCAAGATGAAAAAAGTTGTAGAGATTAATGGTAATGATCTTTATATAGCAATATGAATATACTCAGTTGCTGTACACTCATGAATGATTAAAATGATAAATTTTATTAGGTATATTTTACCACAGTTCAAAAGACATTTAACATTTCAAACAGAGTAAGAGGTTGGGAATGAAGGCAGAAAATAAAAGATGACTATTCATTTTGATCCTTTTAATAAATGTTAAATAAGCCTGTTTATTAACATGGGAGCCAAGTCAAACAAATAATTTCTGTGTCTATAAACTTTAGAAAAACTAAGACTAAGCTAATGGGCAGAAACCTAATAAAGTCTTCATACTTTAATGCCTTATTATATTGCAGACTGTTGTTAAATAAAAACATGATTTTACACACACAAACATATACATATATGTACATATGTGTGTGTGTATAGTACTTTATAGAAAGTTTAAATTTCTCCAAGTTTTTGTAATAAATATATCGCTAATAATTGGAAAAAGCAATAGGACTTTTGTTCTAAATAGAAAATAATGCATTTCACACCATGGCAGTTATGAAACAGTAATAGGTCCTCTGAAGAATAAATTATAGTCTCTTCTCTTTTGAGTACTTTCATAATTCTTTCTGGGCAATCTGAATTGTAATTTTGCACAAAGGAAGAAAATATGTTAGGTCAGAGTTTTTAAGTGGAAGTAAGTCTATTGCTATCTTATCAAAATTACCTGTGAGTTTTTCGTAAATATAGTCCTGCCTTGTTAAATCACTTCTCCTCAATCTACACAGCATTAAAATAGACATTCTCAAGGAGATGTATGGAAATGTTGATGGAGGAAGAGAAGTATAGTGCTGTGTATTTGTTGAAAAGTTCCCTTATATGATATAGCAATGTTGTCTATTTGCACCTCTCACTTTGAGAATCATTCAGTTAGGTGATTTGATAATGTTGCCAATCTTTATCGTACTATGGATGATGAAAACTAAATAACTAAATATCTAGTTCTTCAGTAAGTGAGGCCTTGGTACATGTTTCTCTTTCTTATCCTGTCAAAAAGTATCAAGGGCTCATTGACTCTTACAGGTGATCTACAGATTAAATAGCCCCCAACTTCAAGATAGTTCTAATTTAACATAGTCTTATCACAGTGTACTGTGTCATTATAAGTAAATGATGGTATCAAAGTTACTTGTGTTCATGTTCCTGGTACTTTAAAAACTTGTTATCTCCTCTGCTAGATAAGTTTTCATGTTCTACAAAAACATTCAATGTTCTCCATTATTCTATAAGAAAAGATCAGTATGATTTGCAATTCTAGTAAGCAGAGAGTATGCAATAGAAAATGCAAACTTTAAAGGAAAACAATCTCAGCAATTGGAAGAATAATGTCAACACACCATCCCTCCCTACTCCTACAAATATTAATGTAAATTATTTTGAAAATGCTATCTCTACTGCAGCCAAACCAATTTTAAATGATGATCTTATTGGCATAGGTTGGTGGTAGTAAGAATAGAACAAATTAAGTAGCATTCTTTTAGAATGTTTGTGTATGGCATTCACACACAAAAAAATATTCTTACTAGGTAAGATTTTAAAGAAAAATGTGTTTGTTACCTATGAATATAAACAACCAAGTTGTTCCATTCTTGTATTATTATAGCTATAAAAGATAAGAGATCAAAATAATTTAGAACCAAGAGATCAAATGATTTAGAATAACTTGTAGAACTATCATCAGTCCTCACAAAATAATGCCTTTGAGGCATCATTTGTACAATTAGTGATCTCAGGCCTGAAGAAATAAGACTTCTTTTAACTGCCAGCTTTCTATCACATAGGGTCCTACTGCAAGGCAGAATGGGAGATAGCCTACACTAGGCAGATAGCATTGATTTCGGGAAAGACCGCTAAATCTGATTTATTGGGATATAGATTACATATATTAAAATTCACATGTTTTCCTAAATAACATGTAACAAACTACCACACTCAAAATTCAGAATACCAAATATAGTTTGTATTGAAGTATAACATGCATACAAAATTGATACAACTTTTCATTAAATGGGCACACCTGTTTAACTACAACCAGATCAATAAATAGTACATGTACAGCACTGTAGAAGCCCCCTCCTAATCATTAACCCCATCAAAGGCAACCATTATCTTAGTGTCTACTCTTACCACTACTGCCTATTTTTAAAATGGAATCCCAGTATGTAGAATTTTTGTCTGGCTCTGTTCCCATCCTTTTTTGTGAACTTTTTTACTGTTTTTGGACCAGGGGTTGAACCCGGGGGCATTCAACCCCTGAACCATATCCCCAGGCCTATTTAAGAGACAGGGTCTCACTGAGTTGTTTAGTGGCTCACTTTTGCTGAGGCTGGCTTTGAATTCACAATCCTGCCTCAGCCTCCCAAACCACTGAGATTAGAGGTGTGTACCACTGCACCCAGGTATACTTTTTAACTTTTTGACAAGAATGTGCCAGACTCATGTTGAATTTTCCCTGCCTCAGTTCTTGAATCAACACTTCTCCAAGGAACCTTGATTCCTTTTATTGAAGAATGGTATTTAGAATTGGTACATGTTTCTCTGGGGTTGTGGCTCAGCGGTAGAGTGCTCGCGTAGACAAAGCCCTGGGTTCAATCCTCAGCACCACATAAAAATAAATAAAATAAAGGTATTGTATTCAACTACAACTAAAAAATAAATATTAAAAAAAAGAATCCCAAATCTGTAATAGTATATATGCTTTTTACTCCTTGAATATCATCCTTCCTAGGCCCTCTTGGTAAACAGAGCTCAGCAATATATGTATTATACTAAGCTATATTTATTTCTGTATCTGTTTATATGCTTTTTTTAAGCCATTGTACATCTTATTCCAGTCATACAATACAAGATTCATTCTAGACTTTGCCCTTCCTTATTTACAACTTTCTGACTCTATTCTCTAAAATGTTTTTACTTATTTGTTGTATTCTAAGGTAGTTTTGAAATGCCTATCTATATCCTTGTGAGAAACAGATGTACTTACTGTAGTATTCATTTACAGTTCTTTTTGTCTTTTTTTTCCAGTGTCCAGTCAGAATACTGTCATCTAAAGTAACTTTTCGTTCTTTTATTCCATCCACTTTAGTGTGATTACATTATTCATTTGTAATACATGTAGTATTCCATCTTGGTTTCCTTTCATGTCTTTATCAGATTTCAATAAATAAAAATTTCCTCTGTGAAGTATCAGATTCTGTGGATTTTGGTAATTATATAGATCTTGTAACCATGACCATAGTTAGGATACAGAAGAGTTTTGTTCTTCGGTCCACGATTTCCTAACAGCCATAGCAGTGTGAACTCCCATCAGCAAAGTGCTCTGATTGTTCCATGTCTTTACCAGAATTTGTAACTACCCATCTTTTTTAAATTTTAGCCATTCTCATGTGTAATTGTATAGTATCCTGTTATGATTTTTAATTGGAATTTTCCTGGTGTGTAATGCAATAAGGCATATTTTCATCCACCTATTTTTTGGATCTCTTCTGTTGTGACATTCCTATTGAAATCCTGTTCCCTTGTTGGGTTGTCCTACTGATTTACAATTCTTTTATAATCTGCATGTAAATCTTTTTGTTTTATTGCACATGTCTTTTCCCATTCTTTGGTTTGCGTCTTCATTCTCTTCATGGTGTCTTTTGCTCTTAATTTTAGTACAGTTCAATTCATGTTTTCCCCTTACGATTAGTGCTTCTCATATTCCTTTAAAGAAAGTCTTAGCGTATCCCCAACCCATGAAGATTTTCTTTTATTGTTCACACTTTAGTCC